ACACCACACTGAAGTAACCATCCCCTGAAGGAAGCTACCAGAAGATGAAGAATGCTTCCTATCACCTTTGCCTTTATGGGAGCCCACAAAATAATCAGGTATCTAAACGTATGGGCAGCAACATATGCAAGTTAGAAAGTAAAAGAGCACAGATGAAGCTGTTGCAGAAAGAAAGGCAACCATTAACCTTTACACATCCAAGACAGCTGAGCCTGGTGCAGTTTACTGAGCAGATGGAAGGCGGGAAACCTTATATGCAGTCTAATGGGATTCTCATGTTCCAGTACAAAATGCATAGAGGAGAGTGCTGCATGCATGGGACTTCGCTGCACACACGCACACACAACCCAGCTCAACAATAAATGGGATGCTACTGTGCCAACCTATGTAGGGTAATGAAGCTAGCTGGGAACATATGGAAGCAGTGAAGGATACAGGGAAAAGATGGGCAACGCAGATAAATCACACCTTGGTCCACAAATGGAACTTCTCCAAGCGTGCAATATGCCAGGGTGAACACATGGACACTGTGCAGGTAATACAAGCATACATACCAATGCAGGCTAGTATTAGCACATGAAAGCTACCCAGCCACAGGAGCACAGCCCTCCAGCACAGATGTATTTCTGCTATCTTATGTTGAGCTGGCATGCAAAGCACAGACTGACCCTAGTGCTCTGGCTCTACCTGTGACAGGGTACCGGGGCTTTTCCAGAGAGCTGCTCAGCCCATAAGACTGGGTATTGCACTGCCTGGCTGAAGCACTGTACAAGGTTTGTCCTTGTGTACTCCCTCAGATGACACAAGCATGCAGTTCATGGCTGTGAGTGCTCAGAAGATGAGATTTATGCACGTCTAAGGTATGTTCAGTAGTAAAATATGCCTCTCCATGGGCAGTGTTTCATGTCATCCTAGCTAGCATCCTCTCTGGCACACTAAGGTAGCAAAAGTTCACAGTATGTGCTAGGGAGGGCTGAGATGCATACAGTTACCACGAAGAAGCTCCGTATTAATAGCCCGGAAGAGGCAAATTTGTGTTTCATACCATGCTACAGCACAGGAGCTCTCAGCACATGCCTTTACCTCAGCCCCTTTCTTCACAACATTTACTCAATTCTAGTTAGCTGAAATCTACATTTCAGTTGTGCATGTCTGTATAAGCTGACCATCAGCAATAGCACACTGGGCATCAGCAAAATGCTTACAAAATAGTAAACAAAACAAAATATTTATCCTGAAAGAGCCAAGCATACTCTATTCCAAGGAGAATCTTGATGGGATCCTGCCACATTGTCTTGTGGAAAATGAATCATGTCTGAATACATCGTAACAGAAAGCCCTGTGAACCAATAACCCGTCTATCCAGAGATAGGTATTTGTTCAGGCTGTGATGTAATTTTCCTGTCCTATCCCTGTAGCACAAGCAGCACAGCCATCAGAAAAGTGAAGTGGGGTGTGCAAAGCAATGTGGAGATGGGCAACAGGGCTCTGATGAACTGTTCAGAGCAGCCTGATAACTAAGAGTATCATATACCAAACCATTTCTTATGCCCACAGTTATGGTAAAAAGTATAACACACCTTTGCCTACCCAGAATTGATCCCCAAGACCACCTAAAAAACCAGATGGCTCTCCTGTCCATCTGAAAGCATTCAAAGAAAATTGTCACTAGTTTCTAGCACTGTTATTCATATAACATCTGCTCATTCTTACAGTTGCTGTCATGGCTCAGGGGGAAGCTGGAATGCTCCTGAAACCTAGTGTTATCCCTAGTGAAAAGGCTATGCAAATAGCAACATGGTACTAAAGATCAAGCAGCAAAAACCCCCATAGAAACCTGGGCTGCACAGGACAGAAATGGTTCCATAATTTAGTGCTATTACACAGTCCATCCCACACCTTCTCCTAATAAGCTTAATGGCATCAGGGAAAAGACAAAGTTGCTCTAGCTATTGTGCTAGAGATAACAGACAATGGTCCTGCAGGATAGCAGCACTACTGGTCTATAGATCGTGTGGCAGAAGGGACCATTGTGACCACACAGCTTTTCTTCCTGTGCAACAAAAAAGCTGTACGACTTTTCTGAATGAATTATTGTTTGACCTATTATCTGCCTGTTGGGCAGGCACATTATCCTTAATCTGCATTATCACTGAAGAAATGTCCAGTGATATAAGATCCAATAGAGTCTTTAGGTAAATTGCTTTAGTGATTGATTTGTCTCACCATTAAAATTTTACAAAGTTTTTCTGGTTTTATATTTGCCCAGCTTCAATGCCAAACACTTTGCTTCTCTTATACATTGCCTGCTGGAGCCCTTTTGCTCCCCATACAACTATTACACTTGGTGACCAAGTTACCACTTAGTTTTCATCTTGCGAAGTAAGACTGAGTGAGGTCTGTGGTTCCAGGGTAACAACTAATTAACACTGTCCAGTTGTCCTTCCTGAAAAGTGTATGTCAGAAACCTGAATTTCTAGCTAAACTGTGTTTACTGTTCTGTAAGAAGTCACAGGTGCTTGCCAATCAAAACATACCTCAGATATAGTTGGTGATATTGGGACAAATAGATTAAGTCTGACAACGACCAGAAGTGCCAACAACTCACAGAAGTGTGAACCCAACCTAGTTCTGCACCAGAAACTGCTGCCTCAAATGGGAATGTATGAAGATCTCTTGCTTTCTTCAAAGCTTTCAACAGGGCCTTCCTCCTATAGTGAACCAAAACCTATGACTTAACAGCTATTTTTTTGAATATCCATATCTTCCTCTGGAGAACACTTCAGCGATGAGTAATCAGATTGCATGCAGGATTTCTGCCAGCCTGTGCAAGCTCGTTGTTTCTGCAGCAGTGTTAGCAGCGACAACAACAGACAAGATGTGATCTCTGAGATTGGGGCATTAGCGGTTTAGGACCTAATCTGCTCTTCCCTAATGCCTGTGCTCAGTCTACTGTTGTACAGCAAATTCATAGCAGGATGAGGAAAAGGGGAAGATCTTACAAGCACGATGGCATGACAAGGGATCCAGCAAAAGCGGCCTCTCTATCATAGGCAGTGAAATGGAAGGATACATTAAAGTGAAGCAGAATAACCTTGCTTATATAGATAAACAGGCATTCATACATGCAGTAGTCAAAAGAAGTCAAAAATGTCGTCTAGGCGTCTCTCAGAGAGAAAACAGCTGAGGTGGTGTCATCCTGTTTACCTGCTGTGATGACAGGTCTACCAACATCTTCCTCTCCAAGTTTGACTGCTCTATCACACATGCCTGCTTGAGTGCACTCATTCACACAAATACACACTGAGCGCATCTACCTGCACCCAGTGACAAACTAATTTAACTAATTGCCACCCAATACTATCCACGGGTTACAGAGATTCCACAGGGCCTGGAGCAGACATTATCGAATTTCCATTACCACAAACCAGTCACTCCAGGCAAACACCTGCAAGTGGCCTTCCTGACACACAAAACAGCTCTTTCAATACCAGAGAGGATGGCAAGCAAACTGGTGGACTACAAACAAGGTCTTGGGATTCCCACTGAATTCCTAGTATGGCCACAACAAGCCAAAATGAAAGCCCACAATGCAGTATGTCATGAGCTTTGAAAAGGACAAACTCTGTTCCAGCGTTGTCATAGGTGCATGTAGGGCTGTGGGAAATAACTTTATCCTGAACAGCAGGCTATACTTTGCTTAAAAAAACCTTTTGTTCTGCTCAAAGTACTTTGATTTGCTGAAGTCTACTGCATTTATTCATGAATGTAGCATTACACTCTTTTCTGTGTTTTGAACTGCCATATCTTACACGCTAGGGCTTTCCTACTTAACAACCTCCATTTCTTGTAGAGGGTAGACCTGGGAGAAGGGCTGAGCAGATTTTAGCAGCATCTGTGCAACCTGCACATCACAACATATGGTGTCTGCATCTGGCTGAAGGGGGACCCGATAGACTTTCAGCTTACAGAACTGTGATTTTTCTAAGGAGAAGGCTGGTGTGGTATGAAAACTGGTGACCTGAAGCTTTGGTGACATTAGTGCTGATGTCTGTAAAGGCATCGTGTCTACTCCTGACAACTGTTAACTGTGGAGAACAATCACTGTGTTTTCAAGCCATTAGCAGAGTCCTGGCTCACAGATTTGGATGAGCTGGCAGCTCAGCTTTATGTTGAATTAGTTTGATACAAAAAGAGCTGTTAGGACCCATGTTTTACATTTCTCAAAATATACAGTATAGTTGCTTGGACCTCTTCTTATTTGAACATAAGCACCTTTACCAGCAGCATCCTCCTTTCTTTTCTACTCCAGAGTAGGAATTATTCAGTGACTGCCACTTCATTTCCTATTTCAGCCGTACGAACAAAGATAAGGAGGTTGCTCCTGTGCCCATCCCTTACACACACCCCACCACCCCTTTCCAACAAGAAGAGAGCTGCTTCCCTCCCACTCTGCATGAAACTCTCTGATATTTGCAGCTTCCAAGGCAGAATTGCCAGTTGGTCCTCGGGCGTTTCAGCATGTTTCTGTACAAGCTCTTCCCTGCCACTGCAATGCCACACACTGCCACGAGCAGCCGCACAAGAACCCAAGGCAGCCTGGCGTTACACCTGGGAGGACGTCCAAAGGGATGGGTTATGTGAACAAAGATAACCCACGTAAGTAACAGGTTCTACCACTGGGTACTTCCCCCTGGTTTTAGTATATATGCACACAGAATGACAGCTTTCTGTGAGCCATTTTAGGACTGCAAATTCAGCTCTTGCTTCCAGTATGAGGTTGGTGCTCATAGCTTAAGATCCACTTGCTGCATGCATTTATTTACCTCACATCTGAGACCAGTCTTACTGAATGGTAACATACAGTGGAAAATGCAGAAACAAAAGTACACGTTTGATACGGCATGTTCGCATTTACAGACGCAAACTTAAAAATGGGGAAGTAAGAGCAAAGTGAATAAACCCCACACTTACTCAATGTTATTGACTCTGTGTCTTACCTTCCTATGGGTCCCAGATCTCCTGAGTCCTGGCTGCCTGCGTCACTGGGTGTGCTCACTGATTTCGAAGAGGGAGACATAGGGGTTGGGACTAAATAATGAAAATAACAGGTATCCCATGTTAACACATGCAGCGACTGCACTGATGAAGAGCAGTGTCAGACAAATCAAAACCAACGGACCAAAATGATAGTGGATGAATGAGTAGGAGAGTTTGAAATGGTGAAAGCAAATAAGGAAGGAAAGAAAAAGAAAAGGAAGAGAGTCAAGTGAATTTTAAGTCTTTTGGAAGTGTTAAAACTGACATGAATTTAGACAGGACTGAAAGCCCAATGGGAATCTACAGCTAATCAATGGAGGAGATATCTGTGGAAATAAAATAGCATTTGTTTTCTTGGGTATAGTTTAAAGTTGACTTGCAAAAGATTTTAAAGGTATGAAGAAGTATCAGGGGCTTGTCTTGTCAAAAAACTAAGTGAACTCTTCTGGAAAAGTCAAGTAGGCAATAGAACAAGCATACTTTCCAAATTCTGAATTTAAATCAAAAGCCAGTGTCCACTAGATACAGTCTAAGGCTGCAGTGTGGAAATGACATAAAAAATAAAAGCTAAATAAGGAAATCCAGCTAAGTTAAAATCATTTCCCAAAGATGGTGAGCATACACATTAGTTTGCTTAGCAATTGTGTTTTCTTAAGTAATTTAGGTCATATAAAATTTCCATTTTGGGTGGGAGATGATTTCAACACTCAAGGAAAAGTTTCCCTTGGTTTACATACTATTTGCCCAAGCTCTAGAAATGATTTTCCCTTTGGCTTGCCAGGGCTTTTGAAGCATATTTCATGCAAAGGCAGTTTTGTTTCCTGAAACAGGAAAGGAAGTTCATAGCTCAAGGTCAGTCCAAGTTAAAGCTCTTCAGCAAGGAAATAATAAATAAAAAAATAAGAATATCCTGATTTCTTTTAAAATGGTTTCTCAAAAATATTTAAAATGCAGAGATGGCTCCAGTCAAGATTTAATGCAAATATTCTTCAAAGCAGCCACATTGAATAAAACACAAAAAGAGGTTTTAATGCAAGAGTGAAGTTTCCCATTTGGTTTAAATCATGTGCATTTCCTTTTATAGATTTAACAGAGTAAAACTTTAAACTGTTTTGTTATGCTCTATAACGTATAATGACAGACCTGTCAAGAGATTTGGATTTTCCATGTGGTCAAACATTTCATGCAGATTCTCACTGGAGACTGTCACAGAAATGACTGCAGCATGAAAAGTGAATTCATCTTCATGACAGCCCTTTGGCAGGTTACAGGTATGTCGTGGCTGTTTATGTATTCCATATTCACAGTGGGATCTGGATATCATATCCTTATGTGAAGGCAGAATTAAAGCCTCCTTTGTATATTAATTGTGACTGTATATACAGGGAATGAAAGAGGACAAAATACTATTGTTTAACTAAAATGAATCACCTTATGTGTGAATTTTCATGGTCTTTTGATAGTATCACACACAAAATAATTAACTAAGATAAGAACTGATAATTCACAACATGAGTGTATGTGTTTAGTTAATAATATGATAAGGAAATATATCCTCTTTTTTAGATAAAAATGAGTATTTTAAATGCTAAAACATTAAAAATGTATCTGATTTTACGATATCACGATATAATTTACAAAACATATTTTATGATACATAAAAATAACCTTAACATTACTTGTCACACAGTTCTGAGAAGTGGTATTTAAAAGCTTCAGTCACTATATCATGACTTATAAAAATAGTAACTTTTCTCAATAAATGTTGGTTGATGCAAGTTATGAATTGAAATCCCAATTCAGAATGTCACAATCTACTTGCACATGCACCCAAGCATCTCTATAAGGTCCTTTCCTATATCAAGGCTTCAGTATTTTGTCAAATTTGGAGTTTTCCCTAAATATTACAAATAAAAATATCTAGGGGTAAAATCCTAGATTCAGCCCCAATGAATTTAATGACAAGGCTTGATAGCTCCAGAGGAGCCAATATTTCAGCTAAAAGAGTGAGAGTGATTCTGGATTCAAGGGAGAAGAAAGCACAGGAAGGAAAGAAGGAAGGAAGGAAGGAAATTTCTCACTTTAGGGCCACCCAATAGGTGAGACAGAATTTAATCAAGGTAACCAATATTCAGGTACTATAAACTTTGCCCTGTGTATTTTTAAACTGAGGACTTCAGATTCTAGAAACAAAACATCAAAACCAAAAGAGGTCAAGCACATGAAACCAGAGCTAAAATCTACAGTAATGATCTGATGATAAGCTTTTTGCTATTTGTGATTTGTCTTTTTATTGCCCCTCTCCAGTTTTGCTTGATTTTAAAAGAAAATAAACGGGAGCTCCCACATGACTATGCTCCTCCTTCCTTTGCAAATGTTTAATGTGCATGTTTGAAACAAAACTTGGGGCTAACAAAGTACAGCATTTATAATATTTTGTGGGTCATCAGATAGATGTGACAGAAGATAAAACAGTCCATCAGAAAAGAAATCACTGCTGGTATGCAAAACCAACCTGCATTTTGTTCACAAAAATTTCTTGAAGAGGTGAAACAGATGTTTTTGGCAATGACAAGTACTCAAAATGCCATGAGCTGGTAAATGTGAATGGTATGGCAGGCATTCAAACAGAAGAGTTCACTTCACTAATACAGCCAAAAATCAAAAAAGCCAAGCATGCTTTAATAGAAAGAATGCATTCATTGTGGCACAGCTGAATGCTTTACAGTGTGCTTCACTTAAATACCTAGAGGTGGTTCTGGAGATATACCAATGCTCTGTAACAAAGCTTCTGTCTCTCGTCTTTTGCGGTCTAGGTCAGAATCTTCCTGAGCTGGCTCCTTCTTTTGCTGTAGATCAGCCTGAGTTAAAACAAAACAAACCAGAAAAGTTTCATCTACATATGATCAGCTCTAGCAATTAAGTGTGTGGAAAATATTTATATGCACCACTGCTTAGGTACACTTTGAAATTCACTTAGATATGTTTAGATAAATCATACTGTATATATCAGTAACCATATTTTTCCCTGAATGCATGGGAAAACTGGTCTTTGCAAGGATATTTGCAAGGATTTTTACGGCTCACCGGTGGAAATCTTCTGTCTCTCAGTCATCAGATGCAACTTATGCAACTTCAGCTAATATAAAAGCTGACCATAGAATAACAGATATCATTACCCTGAATAAAAATGGCCCCTTCCTACTTCCTCCAGGATCAAGAAATAAAATTCCATTGGACTTTAGTGATGTAGCTTAAGGGCCTACATTTGGTCCCAAGCACTTGTTGGCAATAAAAATACTTTCTCATAAACTTCAACATCTAACAGGAGCCAAGGAAAGGACTAATGTGTCTAAAATAGAATTCTGGCAGCCCTGGGCACCAACAGCCAAAACTAATGGTCCATAAGATCCCTCCCCCTTTGCTTAGATACCTATACCTCCTTGGAGCTTCCACACATTAGCCTCCTCCCCCTTTGGACTACCGGGACCTAGAAACAGGAGGAGGAACATCTGCATCAGCCAGAATCTCTTATATTTGGCTCATCATTCCCCAGTTTAGTAGGGTGGAAGGAAAACACCGATACCCCAGCCTCGTGGCTAGAGCACTCCATTGAAAGAAACAGGCTTGCAGCCCTTCTCCCAAGCAGATGAGGGAACTGAACCCATGTCCCACTTTGTAGTCTAGTGCAGTAATCAGTAATGCAAGTAAAACAAAATGCAAGTGGTCGGGTCTATCTTTTTGTCATGTCTTAGATAAAAGCAATCCCAGCATAGTTCTTATAGAGAATGCCTGGAGGCATCTGCCTCTATACTTTGGATCTTAAGGTTGCTTTTATATCGGCTGATCCTATCTAGCCTCCACACAGAGAGGTTTTCATTTCTGCTGAAACCAGAGTGTGGGGCACAGGGTACTTGCACAGTGCCTCAGCCTGGTGTTGATGTTGGTGCAGGCACAACAGAAAACCTTGAAGTTCAGAAGCATCCCCATGTTCTCTGGTTTGGACACAGCCAGGATGCAGAGGAACATTGGTTTTACAGACAAAAACAAAGTTCAGTCACGTCCCTGTGCTCACCTCTTCCCATGAGCTAGCCTGAAGTATCTCACAGTAGACAGGGTTGTAGACAACTCTTCTGCACCAGTGTACATGGCTAAGCACCTAAGTGAATGTTAGACTTCACTCCTGGAGGCCGTCGGGCATCACACTGCACCCCATTTACAGCACCAGCTAGGCACTGCAGCATAATATGTAGAGCCGGGTGTCCCAAGCTGGATCTGGCTATTGGGGCCAATGGAAAGTTCCAACCACCACAAGATCTCCACGAGGCATAAAATCAGAGGCAGGAGACAAAGGAAAGGACTTAATAGCTTCCTCAAGCCATTAGCTTGGCTCCCTTCCCTCTAATTCATTAGCAGGCTAGTAATGAACACTGAAAATGTTAACGTTTAAAGTTCTGCTTACAGAAGACTCCCCTAGTGACTCCAGGAGCCTCACTGGGGGGTGTGCTGGTAATTGCACAAAAATGCCTCAAATGAAAAAAGATTTAAAAGACAGCCAAAACTGGAATGCTGATTTCTTGGATCACATCACATTTCCACAGTAATTCCATGAAATTCATGTACAATATTAAAGTGTCAGTTTAAAAGGAAACCAGTTATTAGTAAAGGATAACAGGTGCTTTAAACTATAGTAAGTGTTGACATTTGAAAGAAAGGAAACATAATCACTTAATGCTTCTCTGACTTTGCATGAAAATGAATATCCACTCCCTGTCAATTCTCACCTCTATTCCACTAAGTGACTGAATAAAAAGAAGTACAAATCCCTTAATGAAAAACCTAATGCATATTGTCAAGGACAAATAAACTAATATGTCAATCAAACTTTAACAGAACTGAAAGATGCACCCATGCCAGAAGATGAAAATGCAATTGCAATTATGTTTTACTTTACTGGAGAATAATAATTGTAAATCTGCTACTTTAGCTAGTAATCAAACTAGCCTTCAGAGTACAAAAATACATATTTAGATTGTAATGGCTTGAAAAAAATGTGAGCCCTCTTTCTGTCTTTCCCCACTCTCCACTCCCATTCCATCGAAGGAGAGCCCAGGAAAAAGCATTGTGGCAAATCAATTTTTCTTTCTACACACACATACACATCATGTTGTCTAAACTGTTGTCATCTGACAGTGCGTTGGTTTTAAAAGCAATTCCCTCACTCCAACTTTCTTGACTAAAAATAAGCATTTTGATTTTAAGGTTAGACTGATGTGGGTTTGAGGATCTCATTCCACTTGACAGATACCTTGGGGTATACAATACTGAGATGTCAAAACCTCAGCAAGCACCTTCTGCAAGCACGAGCTATCTAAAAGGTTCTTTTGCATATTTACCTCTTTCTTCTTCCTTTCTTCCTCCTTCCGTTTCTTTTCTTCTCTTATCTGAGCCAAACGCTGCTTTTTGCGCTCAAGTTCTGCTTTTAAATCACTTTTGTCTGACATTTTGACTCTGCTGGAAACAAAATTATGGAAACCAATGTGAAAACAGAATTAAATTTTTCCCTATTTACTGAAAAAAAGATACTTAATTATATAAAAAAATAGCCTTTCTAAAATGGCTACAAATATATTTCTGTATAAACGCTGGCCCTTGGACTATACAGAAAGCAGGATATTTGTTTCACAATTCTTTCAAGAAATTAAACCAGTGTGTCACTGAACATGGAATATATTTTCAAATGACCTTTATTAGAAACTACCTTTGTGAAGCAAACCCATTTTTGGCTGCTGTTCAAAATAATGCTTTAATGCTTTTACATACTGAAGCGAAAGTCTTTTGATTTTCATCAGCTTCCGCAGTTTTGCCAGACTCTAGGACCCAGATCCACAAATGGATTTCAGTTTTAAGTATGAGAATGAGATCTGCCCCAAACAGCCCCATACACCTTAGGCAAGTGATAATTTTACTCACAAAAATTGGAAACGTGGTAACTTTCGCTTCTGCAGGTGCCTTGAATGGCTGCCATCCCAGGATCCCGCCCCGTTCCACTGGTACAGCCCCACACCGACCACCAGCTCAGTCTCAGCATCCTTCACATATTCACCCCTCCAGGGAGCACCCTCACCAAGCTATGGGCTATCCTGCACAGGTATCTCCACCACCCTTTCCAGGGAAAGCTGGGCCGTTCCCCCAAAAAGCTGCAGACAAGGCACAAAACCAGGCAACCCAGCAAACCTGAGCTTCTCTTTAAGGAAGCAGCTCTGCCAACAGCCTTGTGCTCAGATCATCTTTCCATAGGCCAGAGACATGCCTAATATTCCTGATTTGACTCCAGTCACACCAACTTGGCAAAAGCATTTCTTCTGAGCTACTGAAAGACCTCCCCCACCATTTAGTCTTAACCACAATTCTCTGTAGAAGAATTATATGAAGCCATGTACACTCTTTCTGTTTTAAATCTCTGTCAACCTATGCTGCTGTTCTGTGAGCCTTGAAAATGAAGGGTAAGGAGATACAAAGTCACATCAAAGAGAAATAGAGCCAGATCTCTCAAGAACATACCATACCGATCTTTTTCTACAGTCTTAAAACCCCACCAGTGTTGCACAAATCCGTAACTTAAGTCACAGATAATTTATTTATTTTCTAACAACATAATCATTATGGGCTGTCATCTGACTGTATCAATACTGATTTTCTTATTAGCCCTTTATTTCAAAGACAATCCTGACTAATAGACATTCATGAAAAGAGTTAACTGTGCCTTTCCTATTAATTCACACATCACTGACCACATCCACCACTGCAACCCAAAATCAATCAGATCAATGGCAATGCCATGTATACGCAATGAAAGTCTATTGTTTGCTTGATGCATGGGAAATTTAAATGGCAGCTCTCCGCTAATATAATCAGAACTTCACCCACATTACTGCCTAGGCGGGTGGATGACCAGAGAGTAAATTTATATGCTAAAAATTATATGGCATTTTCATGCATCATGAATTCCTCTGCAGTCATCAGCTTCCTCCTCAAAACGATAAAAGCATAGTTAGCCCATGATACGGAGGATATTGCCAACAAAACATCACCTGCACATTAAATGCAATCTTGGCCCCAAATGCTTTGTTGTCTTTGAAATCATTTTCCTTTCATGAAAGAAAAGAATAATATTTGGAATCAGAAGAGGAAAGCATTCAATGAAAATGGCAGGCGTAACAGCAGCATGAGGGATGCCAGAGGGGCCAGCATAGCTGTATCTGTGTGTGGACCACGCCACAGATGTTAACATTTCCCAGTCAAACTCCCAGCTGAAGCCCACCAGCAGGAGTTAAACCAGTCCAGCTCATACTGCCACAGATTCTGCACTTCAGCAGAGCTGCCCATCCTGGCAAGGTACCCTGCAGTCCTTTCAAGGCCCAAGGACTCCCGGTTCAATCCACAACAACTCACTAAATGGTATAGCTAGGAAGGACACTAAACTGCTAAAAAACTGGACCACTGGGTGCACTGGCTGTATGCAGAGGACCATCATTTCTTTATTCATCCATCACTCTGGTCCTATTCATGATGATACTGTTTTCAATTTGAGAAAGAGAAATCAAAACTGTTAGAAAAATTGCATTTCATAAAAAGAAAACTAAGCTGTAGCACCTTAAACAACATTAATCTGTGTGATCAGTTGATGTCAGCGAGCTATTTTTCACAGGAGAAATGCCCAGAGAAGAAAAAAAGCTTTTTAATGGCAGTGCAGGTAGTATTTTGCCTACCAATCTGCTCAGGATTTGTGGTTCTCTCTGAGATATGGCTGAAATCCCATTTGAAGTCATTTTCCTAATCTGTTGCACACATTTGAATTCTGATTATGAAGTTCCCCCTCAGAGCCCTTCAGACTAGATAGAGTTTTCGCATCCTTTTAGTTCTGCAGTTTGGCAACAGAGCCCAAGCTCCTGTTTCTACGCAAAAAATATGCAAATGCGTTTTAAGGCTCATGACAGAAACCCTGAGGGTTTGGCATCCCTTTCAAGCTGTTTGTCAGATATCAATGAATGGCTTTCTAAAAATTCATTCCCTTAATGTCAGGGAAGCTAACTAGCTTTTTCCCTGATTTAGGCATCAATGGTTTAGTGCCTGGCCCCTTCTTTACAATGCTCCAGTCAGGGTGATCAAATCCTATTATAACTTTGCCCTATTTTTAACAAAACAGATCTCACATACAACAAAGATGATGTATTAAATTTCCTTCAAAGAATGTTACCAGGGCTGAGTTATAGAAAGAAATTAATCTCAAATTACTTTCATCTTGCATATATCATACTCATGTGTTAGCTCCCCAAACAGCTTACCAACCTTCAAACTGGCTATTTACAATTTTAGCACAAATTGAACACCAAGGGTATGTAACCATACCATTTCTCAGATGTCAGCAAGTTAGCAGTGAGCAAGGAGGCAAGCATACTCTTCACTCTACGTGGCATTAACCATAGAGTTAATACTCTGTATTCATTACTGGGAACAAACTTCTAATAATTGCCATTCTGAGTGCCAAAAGGCATGCTACACCAAGAGAGATAAAGGCAAACAGTAAAAAAGACTTACTTGAATATTCTCTGTGGTACAGAATGATAGCCCAAGGCTTATGTACAACCTAATCTTCTCCAGCCTGAGAGAAGGCATTGGTCAGAGAGGAACAGTAAGGAGCACATTTTGTAGTGAAGCAATTAAATCACCTATCATCTGGGAGAAGGAACACATAGGAACAAACACACTGAACACTGCATTAAATGTAGAAATAGTTCTCATAGCAGAGCAGCAGCCTAGGGCTCCCCTCTTCAAGGGAGGTGCATAATCTTAGATCAATTTTTATTTTGTTTGGCCAAGTTTACTGTCATGTGATACAGTTTTAAAAGGAGAGAGTCCTGCCACTCCAGAAGAGCTTATTGCCCTTTATTGGGTTTGTGTGGCAAGGTTTTGGTAGCAGGGGGGGTTACAGGGGTGGCTTCTGTAAGAAGCTGCTGGAAGCTTCCCCTGTGTTCGAGAGAGAGCGAGCCCATACCAGCCGGCTCTGAGACAGACCCGCCGCCGGCCAAGGCCGAGCCAATCAGTGATTGTGGTAACACCTCTGGGATAACATTTTTAAGAAGGGAAAAAGTTGCTGGGACAGAGAGAAATGGCAGCTGGAGAGAAAGTGAGAACATGTGAGAGAAACAACCCTGCAGACCCCCAGGTCAGTGAAGAAGGAGGGGGAGGAGATGCTCCAGGCGCCGGAGCAGAGATTCCCCTGCAGCCAGTGGTGAAGACCACGGTGAGGCAGGCTGTCCCCCTGCAGCCCATGGAGGTCCACGGTGGAGCAGATATCCACCTGCAGCCCAGGGAGGACCCCACGCCGGAGCAGGTGGATGCCTGAAGGAGGCTGTGACCCCGGGGGAACCCTGCGCTGGAGCAGGCTCCTGGCAGGACCTGCGGATCTGTGGAGAGAGGAGCCCACGGAGCAGGTTTTCTGGCAGGACTTGTGACCCCGTGGGGGACCCACACTGGAGCAGTGTGCTCCTGAAGGACTGCACACCGTGGAAAGGACCCACGCTGGAGCAGTTCATGAAGAATTGCAGCCCATGGGAAGGACCCACATTGGAGAAGTTCGTGGAGGACTGTCTCCCATGGGAGGGACCCCACGCTGGAGCAGGGGAAGAGTGTGAGGAGTCCTGCCCCGAGGAGGACAAAGTGCCAGAAATAACGTGTGAACTGACTGTAAACCCCTTTCCCCATCCCCCTGCGCCGCTGTGGGGGTAGGTAGAGAATCCAGGAGTGAAGTTGTGCCCGGGAAGAAGGGAGGGGTGGAGGGAAGGTGTTCTGAGATTTGGTTTTATTTCTCATTACCCTACTCTGGTTGATTGGTAACAGAGTTAATTTTCCCGAAGTTGAGTCTGTTTTGCCCGTGACTGTAATTGGTGAGTGATCTCTCCTGTCCTTATCTCAACCCATGAGTCTTTTGTTATATTTTCTCTCCCCTGTCCAGCTGAGGACGGGGAGTGATAGAACAGCTTTGGTGGGCACCTGGCATTCAGCCAGGGTCAACCCGCCACACGCCCGTGTGCTAACATAAGTTCTTGAGATGTAGCAGGATATGTGGATGTGAACCACCTTGCACAGAGAGCACTCACCTGCACTCCTAATATTCTGACAAAAATCTCCTTTCTTTGAGCTACTGGAGGAAGGAACCTGCTCCTCTTGGCATGACTTTTAATGAAATGGACTGTTCTATTTCAAGATGTCATTTTTTCCCATATGCATTAAATATGCCTTAGACTCCCCTCTTAGGCTTGGAAATACAGCCAATTCCACTTACACATCGAAGGTCCACCAGACCCACTAGGATGGCAGCCACCCAGGCACATGCAAATGCAGCACCAAGGCTTCTGAGGACTGCGTGCTGGGACTTCACCATCTACTGGGCTTATCCCACTCAATCTGGATGCCCACAATGTAGATGCAGAGCTATCCT